TGTAACTCTGCCTTTCAAATAAAAAATAAATAAATCTTACAAAAAAAAAATGGGGGTGGGGATTCTGAACATGACTTGGTTTGCAAGGGTCTCCTAAGCTGTCGCCTTAGTGCATCTCCAATGAAAGCAACAGGAGACCCACTTAGCGAAATGTGCTCATTCTACGGTCTTACATCAGCAGGAATCACCTTTGTACACAATCACCCATCAGGGCATCGTCTATAACGGCAAAAGGCTGAGCACAATCACGCCGAGACAAGGCACACTGCTGCAAAGTAAGACAGAACCCCTCCCTTGCGGACTGCCCCACAGCCACCCCACGGACACACCAAGGGGATCTATGCGCTGACAGAAAAGGCTCCGACCCAGGTGCTAGTGGAGTGACCAAGCAAGGACTAAGGTGCTGGCTCACACTTACATGCAAGTACTGACTCGAGTCTCAGTACCCAGCTCCCTTCTAGTGCATCGGGCAAGGCAGCAGAGGATGGGCCACATGCTTGGGCCCCCGCACCCATCTGGGAGACCTGGATGGAGTCCCAAGCTCTGGGCTTCACCCTGGCCCAGCTCCAGCTACTCTTACCATTTGGGGAGTGAACTGGCAGATGGAAGATCTGTCTCTCCCAGTGCCCAGTCTGTCACCTGACTTTTGAATAAATAAATCTTTCACTTAAAAAAAAAAAAAAAGAGAAACAGTTTTTAAAAAGATTTACTTTATATTCACTGGAAAGGCAAATTTTACAGGGAAGGAGAGACAGAAAGATCTTTCATCTGCTGATTTACTCTCTACATGGGTGCAACAGTCAAAGCTGAGCTGAGCTGAAGCCAGGAAACAGGAGCTTCCTCTGGGTCTCCCATGGGGGTGCAGGGTCGCAAAGCTTTGGGCCATCCTCCGCTGCTTTCCCTGGCCACAAGCAGGGAGCTGGATGGGAAGTGGAGCTGCCGGGATTAGAACCAGCGCCCATATGGGATCCCAGGACTTGTGAGAGGAAGACTAGCCAATTGAGCCATTGTTCTAGGCCCAGAAAACAGGCGATACTTCACTGATTTGGGAGTTGAACTATATAAGCCTCTTGGAAAAAAACTGAATAAAATCAAGGAAATGAGAACTCTCAGATGACACACTGTGGTGTGATTTTTAACACACAATTTGCAAGTCTAAATAAAAGATCGAAAGACTCAAAGAAAAGGCCTTGGCCCTAAACCAAAGTCTTGGTGACTAAAAATAGAGGTTGGCTTTTGGCACTGTGATTAAGATCCTGCCTAAGGTTGGTGTCATGGTGTATCAGGCTAACCCACTGCCTGCAGCACCGGCATCCACTACAGACGCTGGTTCAAGTCCCGGCTGCTCCGCTTCCCATCCAGCTCCCTGCTTGTGGCCCGGGGAAAGCAGAGGAGAATGGCCCAAATCCTTGAACCTCTGAACCCACGTGGGAGACTTGAAAGAAGCTCCTGGCTTCAGATCAGCCCAGCTCCGGCCATTGTGGCCTTTTAGGGAAGTGAACCAGTGGATGAAAGATCTTTGTCTCTCTCTTTCTGTATCCCTGCCTTCCAAATAAATAAAATAAATCTTGGCGGGGGCTGGGGAGTAGGAGAGAAGTTCTTGCATAAAATGCTAGCATCTCATATCCCACATACATCGGGGTTCCTGGGTTTGGATCTGGACTTTTTTTCCGATTCCAGTTTCTCGCTAATGAGTTCCCCGGGAGGCCACTGGTGATGACGGGTCTCCTGTCACCCGCGCGGGAAACACAGACTGAGTTCTGGGATTCTAGCTTTGACCTGGCCCAGCCCCAGCTGCGTGAACATTTGGTAAGTGAAGCTCTGGGTGGAAGACCTTGCCTGCCTTTCAAATAAATAAAACTTTTATTTGATTAAAGATATAAACGTGCTTTAAGAGTAAATCATTTAAAAACATGCTTTAGCTCTCAACCTTTGAAGAGAAGCGGAGGGGGGGAGACAGAGACGAGAATCTCTACCCACTGATTTCCTCCCCAAATGCACAGCTTCATCCAGGTCTCCCACGTGGGTGGCAGGGCTCCAAGCCCTCGAGCCATCCCCTGCCACCTCCCAAGGTATGCCTTAGCAGGGAGCTGGACAGCAAATGGAGCCAAAGCTTGAATCCAGGCACTCCAGTTGAGGCTGTGCCTGCCTCAAGTGGTTCCTAACCCCAGTGCCAAACAGCAGCCTCTAATGCCCCCTTCTGATGGAGCCTGCTTATGAGCTACAGACAGGAAGTCCCTCTTCCCCTGCCATCAGGTTCCTGATCTCTGCTGCCGGAGAAGGGGTCAGGCAGTCTAGACAGATGCCCAGCCCAGCAGAGGCAGTCCAGCTCAGAGAGGGCACTGCACTGGGAACAGCTGGGGCAGGCTACAGGGAGAGGAGGGATGCGGGGAGCCCCAGCCTGGCTCCATCCCAGTGAGAGAGAGTGGAGACATGAGGGACTCTTGCAGAAGGAACCACCACCACAGAAGCCATGCCCAGCCTTGGCCTCCAGTAATCACAGCAGCTGCTGGCCCTTCCTCTCCCCATGGGCGCCAGAGAAAGATGGCCTACTAGCAGCAGTCACCAGCCTCCCCTGCAGCTGACAACCCTTCATCCCGTGCCACGGCCAAGCAGGTCCTCAATTCAGGACTTCTGCGTAGAGGGGAGTGAACTGAGGATCCTTATGGACCAGGCAGGGGTGAAGGCAGCAAAGGGGGGCGGGGGGAAACAGAACGCAGGAGCTGCTGTCGTGGCACAGTTCATTAAGCTGCCACCTGCAAGGCCAGCAACTCATACGGGTGCCAGTTCAAGTCTCAGCTGCTCCACTTCCCATCCAGCTTCCTGTTAATGGCCTGGGGGGGAAAAAAAAAATCAAAGGATGACGCAAGGTCTCAGGTCTTTGCCACCTATGTGGGAGACCAGAAAGAAGCTTCTGGCTTCATACCCACTCAGCTGTGGCTGTTGCGTACATTTGGGGAGTGAACCAGCAGATGGAAAATTTTATATCTCTGTTTCCCCCTCTCTGTAACTGTGTCTTTCAACTACAGACAGTTCATTAGGAAGCGAGGGAGGAGAGGAGAGGAGAAAGAAGGAAGCAGGCCTGAGACAGACATGACACACAGACGCCTTGTTAGTCCTGACTATTATTAGCCTAGAGAAGGAGTATTTTTCCTCTAAAGAAAACCAGAGTTGCTCCCAGAACTAAAATAAATGTGTCTCTGTCTCCGTGTGTATGCGGGGAAGGGCGGGGGGGTTACTTTTCCTTAAAACCAATCAGTGAACCAGCGAGTAGGACAGAGGGGATAGGCCAGGAAAAACGGAGTCCCCCTTGTAGGACAGGGAAACTGCTTTGGAGTCACCCCTGGATCTGGGCTCCTCCCACTCCCACAGCCCACTCCACCCACGGGCTTCTGGGATCCCTAAATAACCCACTTGGGCATGCCACAAGCCCTGTGCCGTGCGTCCCAGCACAACCACGGTGGCACCGGTGCCCCACGGCAGGCAGTGGGCAAGGGCAGGCTTGTGCGGCTGGCCGGCCCTCAATCCCACCTCCTCCAGACCCCAGCTCAGGCAGAGCAGGCTGCAGCCTGACCCTGCAGCTGCACCATAGGACCCTTGGTCCCCGGGCAACCCCTGGGCTTGGCTCTGTCCACAATTTATGAAGTCTTCCCAACTAGGCTGGGACCGGCAGCTTCCTCCCCAACTCCTCAGACCACTTGGTAACTGGGGGTCTGACCAACCCCCGGGGCTCATCTCCTATCAGCCCCGCCCGGCCCTGTCCAGCTCTCCCGCCTCCTTCCCTCACCAAAAGCAGAGTCCAGGGGGAGGAGGGAAATTATTTTTCTGGAAGCAGAAACAAGCCCCTCACTTGGTGGCAAGGAAGGAGATGCCAGGGTCCAGCAAGGAGTCCAGAGTGGTGGGGTTGGGGGATGGGGCTGCACAGTCCTGTCCCAGGCTGTAGGGCTTGTGTTTTAAGGGGTAACAGAGTGGGATCCCTTCCAGGAGCAGGCGAGTCAGTTCTCTGGCTTGTGGAGGACACAGTCCAACAAATACAGAGCTTGCAGTGCAGATACAGGGAACTGTTCTAACCCCTCACCTCCCCTTCAGACCCCTGGAGCAGACGGGAAGAGAAAGAGAGGTGGGAGAGAGAGGGAGGGATGGAGAGAAAGAGAGCGAGAGAGAGAAAGTCAGTCAGTCCTCACCCGGATTCGGACGTCCGGGCCCACTCTCTCCCAGCCCAGACCCAGGAAGGTCACCAGCAGCCCCTCGGAGCAGAACCTACTTACAAAGCAAGAGCGCATGCACACAGCCTGGATTCACATCGGACCTCGTGGTCGCAGCTGAGCCACCTGGACGGCCCCGGGGGCCCCAGGGGGCCACCCTCTGAGAGAGGGAAGCTTGAGCCAGCCCACCTCACTTGGTCGGCACCGGCTCAGAAACAGCCCAAAGCCATCACCCTCCCGCTCGGAAGTGGAGTAGCGGAGTGCCTGGGGAACTAACCGAGCGAGCGCCCGTTAGTTAGATCTGGGGCTTTTCCCTGCGTCTGGAAAGTGGGTCCGGCAAGGATGCAGGGGATATGGGGCGGGGAGAGGCGGGGACACAGTTCCTGGAAGGCAAAGTCCGGGAGGCACCAATAACCACCACCCCCCCCACGGCTGCGCCCCACGAGGCTGCCCTGCACGCCGTGGGCCCCAGTGCTCCGCCTGGAAGCGCCGGTACCCAAGTCCTGTGCGTCCTTCTCTGCCTCCCGCATCCCCGCGGGCTTCTCGCAAACTGCAACGAGCGCCGCGAGCGCCGCTGTGACCTCGCCGCCCTCGCCACCGTGGCACCCCAGGGCCAGGTGCGCCCGCTTCTTCCCGGGCTGCCGCGCGTCCTGGGCAGAAGCGGAGCCACCTCCATCCCCACCCCCAACCCCATTCTCCCAGCCGGCGCCTCCCCCATCATCCCATGCCCGCACACATCAGGCCGGGGCCTGATGCCCTCCCCTGGGGCCCAGCCCCGCACACACTCCTGCTCACCTATGTGTGGTTCTGACAGCCGGCAGGAGACCCTGTGCACTAGCCCGCCAGGCCCCGGCGGCCGGCGGCGCTAACAGAAGCAGCAGCCGAAGCAGCAGCGGCGGTGGCGACAGCGACTCGAGGTGTGCGTCTGCCAAGACAGCCCGCGCCCGGCCCCCTCCCTGCGTGCGGCCGCCGGCGCCGCGCATGCCCGGCTATATACCCGGGCGCGTCACGGCGGGGCCCGCCCCCCGGCCGCCCGCGCGGGCCCCACCCCGTTCCCCTCCCGGGCCTGCCACGTGGGGCGGCCCGGCTGCGCCAGCACGGCTGGTGCCCGCCCGCGGATACTGGCTCGGGCATCGGCCTCGGGCCCGAGACTCCTCCTCCTCGCTAGAAGCCGCCCCCGTAGACCTTGGCCGAGTGCGCCCCGGCCACCTGCGCTCCGGGCAGGCACGACCGGCGGGAGCGCGCCGCTCACCCGGCTCCGACCTGCTTTTGCACACGTATCCTCCTCTACACGCTCCTCTCTCGTCCTTCTCGTCCCGGTAAAGCTCTGGAGAAGGCGGCACGCCGGAAAAAAGAGGAAAATTTCTCCCAAGCCAGGAGAAGTCCCGTCCGAGCTCCAAGTCTCCTCTTTGTCCTCACTGTCCCAATCAGAGGTCACACCACTGTGGTCCGCGCCCTCCTGGCCCTTTAGAAAGCAAGCACAGTTCTCCCCGTAGCCGAGGAGGCCGGACTTTTCGTTTTGTTTTGCTTTTTGGTGAGGAGTATCCTGGGGGTCGCTCCCCGGGGACCGGAGGACGGCGCGCAATGTGCCTATTGAGATGGATATTAGGCCCTGGGAAGTGCTTCCCCCGCACCCCCACCCGAAAAGCAGCCGCCCGGGAAACTGCTTCTTGGCTTGCTCATGATTTCCTCCTGCCGCTCTGCCAGCTGCGGCCCCATGGGGCTGCGGCGGGGGTGGGGGAAGACCGGCGGGAGGGGCTGCCTAGCCGGACTGTGGCACGTGCTCTTGGGGTCCCCGTGAGCCCCCTCGTGTCGGGATAGATCTCTCCCCCCGACAGTCCTCCAAGGCAGTGCTGTGGAGCAGGCCGGGACAGGGGACCAGAACCCCGACGGCCCCTGCTGTCCCCTGGTCGACAATCTAGTGGCCCCAAGGAACCCAGGGCTGGGGGAGCGGGGACCAGTCCTGAAGGCAGGTGACAGCAGGCCTGCTTCTCCCTGTGTGCCCAGAGGTGTGGGCAGTGATGGAGCCAACCGCGCTGCGTTTATTAACCAGCTCATTCCAGAGGAATGTGAATTTCTCCCAAGCCCGCTCTCTGCCTCGTCTTCCCAGAAACCCTGCCTGCCTTGGTTGCAAGTGCAGTGTTGTTCTTCAGGTGCCAGCCGGCTGGCACTGTGGTTCCCCCAGAATCAGGGCCCCATGTTCACTGCCCTTCTTTCAAGGATTGGGGACGGGCAAGGCAATGGGGTGATGCGCACCTGCGTGGATCCCAGAAGCAGTGCGTGGCGCTACCCGAAAAGCACTACCTGCAAAGACACGCCACCCAGTCCCCTCCCGGCCAGGTGTCCAGGTGTCGTCTGTCCTCCCCTCTCACGACCTATCACAACATCCACAGTTGTTCACCATCAAAGACTGGAGGTGCAGCTGCTAAAGTCCACAGGGGCCCAGCGATAAGCTATCAGTCACCCCTGAGGGGAACAGAATTAATTATTAACAGAGGAGCTGTTCCAAATGGAAAGGGCTTCCACTCTGAGCATCTGAGCATCGACCCCTCACAATACTCTACCTGGCGGCCCACTCCGGCCAGCCTGGAGGCGTCCTCGCCCCTTTGGCCTCCCGCTATCCCTTGGCCCTAGCCCTGCACACACTTCCAAAATCCACCAGGCTTCTTGAATCACCTCAAGTATATCTGATCCACTTTTTCTTGTTACAGTAACCCACATTAAAAAACACTTAACACTGTAACTCGAGTATTCAAGTAAGACAGTGCACCGGCAATTCACGAGGTCCTTAATACACGTGTGTAGTGCCGACAGCTCCCACTGCGGTTTAACACGTGGATTTCATAATACATTCACTGCTGTTTCTTAAAATCTCCCTCTAGCCGCATCAGACCTTAACCTGCTTATGTCCCATCACACTAGGTACAAGACACCGATGTAAAGTTAAGTTGAACAATAAATATACCATTTATGACAACCTTATTATTAAAAAAATTTTTTAGAAGAGCTCTTTATTCCTTTGGAAGGAAGAGTTACAGAAAGAGATGGAGAGATCTTCCTTCCACTGGTTTACCCCCCAAAAGGCTGAAACAGCCACAGCTGGGTCAGGCCAAAGCCGGGAGCCAGGACCACCACCCCACCGGGTCTCCCTGTGGTCTCCCAAGCTCTCGGTCCCTCATCTGCTGCTTTCCTGGGCACATCAGCAGGGAGCTGGATGGAAAGTGGAGCAACTAGGACTTGAACTGGTACCCGTAGGGGATGGCGGCACCACAGATGGCAGCTTGACCCGCGGCAGCAGAACTCCTGCCACCATCCTGCCCCCCCTCCCGCTTAGGGTAACTTTAACGTAGAGTTCTTTAGAGAAAACAGGTGAATAATTGAAGCATTTTTTCGTTGAGAAAATGGCATAAACTGTTGTGGAAAAAAAGACCAGCATTAACTTTACTGAAAAAGTTACTTCCACTAAATATTCAGCGGAACAAAGAGAGAGGCACAGAACTGATATGAGAGGCATGCAAGGAAGTTCTCCTGTACAGGAGCCTTCGCATAGTAAGCTCATCCTGTTTGTAGTGCCAACATTCCCGCATTCCGCATGGGCACTGCTTTGTGTCCCGGCCGCTGCACTTGTCCGGCTCCCTGCTTGTGGCCTGAGAAAGCAGTTGAGGACGGCCCAGTCTTGGGACCCTGCACCCATACAGGAAACCCTAGAGAAATTCCTAGCTCCTGGGTTCAACTCAGCTCAGCTCTGGCCATTGTGGCCACTTAGGGAGTGAACCAGTGATCTGAGTGAACCAGAGATCTCTGTCTCTCCCTCTCTTTATTCAACTCAAGGAAAATAGAGAATTTTCCAGAAGTTGGTTATTTGTCATCTATATTTCAAATGGTAAGACAACCGTGTACCGCACGGTGAGAGGTGGTGACCTGGGTTTTCATGGGATACACCTCAACAGTTCTGTCTCATCGCTTGAAATGAGTAGCAGCATCAGTCTCTGGTCACTTGTTGATCTGTGTAGCCTCACTCACTGTATGGATCAGCCCCAAAGCTGTGAGCGAAGGCAAGAGAAATGTCCTAACTTCAGTGTGTTTCAGAGAGAACTCTCTGTTGGGCACACCTAACACGGTGCACGGAGCCTCGGAGGAAAACCAGGTCACCCTCGCAGACCTACTGCTGGCCCCGAGAGGCCATTTTCCCCGAGCAAGAGCAGTGACATTGTCAACACAGGCTGGGGCATGTTGTCAAAAACGTCCCGTAAGCCTTTGAAACGCTTTGCGCCCTTCCACCAAAAGCGAGTGTGGCACATGTCAGGGAGGCCACTTTGTAACTTGCGAAATGAAGGAAGGGATTGATTCAGCCAGCGCCCTCTCTGCAAGGCAGTCTGCATCGGTGTTCTTCGTGAGGCTTAGCGGGTGTTACTATAAACTCTAGAGGTTTTCCAACCTCTTGGTCTTGTGTCAATCTCATTGATGTGTTCGGAAAAATGAAAACTTGAGACTTAAACTGGTTCATCTGTCTTCATTATAAGAGATTCCTGTATTTATCTGTACCCCCTAACGCAACACCTTGCACATTACAGGTTCCTGATAAATATTTGTCGGATGAAGGGACAGGCCAGCTCATGGGAAGTTTCATATTGGGCAATATTTAAGGGAAATGAGAACAGAAATTGGGACACTTTGGGCTGTTACCGGTTCTCTTCCAAAAAGATCCCACAGCTACCAGCCAAGAAACACAGGAGGACTTCCCGGAGACAGGGAAGCTTTGAGAAACAAAACCAGGGAAAGCAGACCCGGGCCCTGATTGGCACTGGGTGAGGTTGGGGCCCTCCTGGCTGGGTTTGCACTGACAAGCTAATCAGTGGGGTCGGGACAAGAGCTTTCCCCATCCAGGCTCTCCCACCAACGGAAGGTTTAACTGGATTTGGCTGGAGAGGGGTTCCAGCTTTTTCTTTTCTTCTTTCTTTTCCTTTCTTCCTTCCTCTTATTTTTTAACAAGAAAAAAAAAAAAAGTAAGGTAACCTTTTGTAAATATCTACCTGCCTTGGGAGGCTGTGCACTCCACACAGTAAACAAACAGAAGCGGCTGGATTTGTTACACAGCCTTTATGGGAGGCCATTGTTTGCATGACCCAGGACGGTTATTTAAACTCAGTGCTGTGGAATACAGCAACTTTTAAAAATGGACCAGTCTTCCTACAAGCAGGGAGATGGCACAGCAGCCAATCAGAATGAGCCACGTTTACCTGCTTCGGCATGAAGAAGTGCCTTGCTACATTCATCTTGTAGGATTAACGTGGAAATAGGAAAAGCCATGACATCCAGGGAGCTGAATATTTTCTGATGGTAGCTGATTTCCCGCAACTAGTAACCATGGAGGGAAATACAAGGGCGAGAGTGTAGTACATCCAGCCAGCCCGGGGAGGAGGGGTGTCCGCCCGGAGGGCTACAGGACAAGGCAGGAGAAGGCAGGAGAAGGCAAGAGAAGGCAGCGCTGGGCCCAGCAGCCTCCTCATGGCACGGGAGGCGGAGCCATACCTGGACACACAAATGGGATGGACGTGTACCTGAGGATTTCTGAGTTTCTCCGTGCCTCCACCTGCAGCTTATTCATCTTTTCAGTCATTTAATTATGGATTTGAAAGGCAGAGTTACAGAGAGGCAGAAACAATCAGAGATCTTCCAGCAACCCAGAATTCCACCTGGGTCCCCCCCATGAGGGTGGCAGGGACCCAGACACTTGGCCATCCTCCACGGCCTTTCCAACTGCATCAGAAGGGAGCTGGATGGGAAGTGGAGCGGGTGGGACTTGAACAGGCAAAGGCCTGACTTGTGGCACGGGTCAGCTCACAGGTGCTGTGCATCACGCAATCTCCTCCTTCCGTTTCCGAGGCTGCATCCTGGGGAAGAGGGCGTGCGGGACTGCCACGTGAGGGGGCGGATGTAAAGTGCGGGGCTGTGAAGCATCATCTAGGGCAACGTCTTCATCTCATCCCCATATTAACGCCACGCAAGGTACGGGGTGTTCATATGGCTAGTTTGGAATACAAACTGGAACCCACCTTCCTACTTTTCTCATCCACATCTTTCTTAAGATTTGTTTTTATTGGAAAGGTAGATTACAGAGAGCATCTTCCATCTGCTGGCTTACTCCGCAGCTGGTCACAATGGCCAGAGCGGAGCCGATCTGAAGCCAGGAGCCAGGAGCTTCTGGGTCTCCCGAGCAGATGCAAGCACCCAAGGTCCCGGGTGCTGCTTTCCTCTGCTGCTTTCCTCTGCTGCTTTCCCAGCCTCCAAACAAGGAGCTGGATGGGAAATGCAGCACCCAGGGCAGGAACCAGCAACGGTATGGGATCTTGGCACTTGAAGAGGAGGATTAGCCCGGACCTAACCCACATACTTCTGTGTATACTAGTTAGCCAACTCTGGTTACAGTGATCATCCAGCTGGATGATCCACTTGGCCTTTTCAGCTCCAAGTTAATCCCACGAGATTAACACCAAGGGGACTGTGTTCAAGCTGACGCACACTGGTGTGAACCCTTCATCAAGAACAGCAGCTCCTTAAAGGGCGATCCATGCCTTGCCTTTTTTTCAGGCACATTAAGCAATTAGCTTGTATCCCCAAACAATCTCCACATGAAGGGAGGCTCTTTGGGGTGACCTATTCTTTGAAGACTTACTTGTTTGAAAGGTAGAGTCACAGAGAAAGGGAGAAGTGGAGACCCTTCCTCCCGTGGTTCACCCCGCAGGGCCGGGCCGGAGCCAGGCAGCTTCCTCGGGCTCAAGCACCTGGACCAGCCTCCACTGCCTTTTCAGGCACGTTAGCAGGGAGCTGGCTGGGAACTAGAGCATCCAGGTCTCAAAACGCTGTCCCTATGGGAGCCTGTGCCACAGGCACTGGTTCCGCCCACTATGCCCTCAGCGCCAGCCCATAAACCTGATCTTCCTTTCCCATAAAATTAAGTAAATCTTTACAAAATAAATTAGCTTAAAAATAAAACATACATAAAACAGTAAAAAAAAAAAAAAAAGATGAGGAAGGTGGACCTTTCAAAGGTGACTCTCTGCGTTGTGGGAGAAAGGTGCTCTGAGGAGGCGCACACACCAAGCAGCACAGTGATCCGCTGCAGACTGTCCCCAGCAAGTCTCGCAGTGACATGACCTGGCTCCTCACCGTGGGGCCCGGCCTGCCACGCCCGGTCAGCACGGAGGGATGCAGGGAGTGCGGCCGCTGTGGCAGGAGCAGCAGCTCACCGGGCAACACAGACACGACGCGACTTCAGACACAAGTGCGCACCCCCACAGACCGGCTTTATTTCCACCTCATGGTCCAATCACTTGGCATGAAAACTGAAAAGCAAGGCAAGCAAACTGGGACTAAAAAGTGAAGGCATCTTAGGATTCTAGTCAAGCTGTCTGCCTGTTCTTGCTAAGAGAAGGGGGGGAAATCCAACTTGTAATGTGAAATTCAAACTGCTGCCAAAGAAAATCAAGAAACTCGGCTGCTCAGTCGGAGACCAGGGGCTCATTTAGCTCGAGGTCACAGGGTTTAAATTCCAGGTCGCAGCCTCACCCCATGTTACAGACTCCACACGAACCCAGAGAACCTGCCACACTCATTGCTCCCGGCACCGTGCCGGGTCCTGCAGCCAACTGAGAAATTTCTGGGCTTTCCTCTTTTAAGGACTTTGAGGCTGAAGTGTCTCCTCTCACACAGCATCATATGAAAAGGGTATTTCCACTGTGTCTCCTTTCCTGCCACTCTCAGCCCCAAAATAAATACAAATCTGAGACGTTGCATAAAACTGGCCTTTAAAACCCCACCAAGGCGAGCCATGTTGGAAAGCTGCCTGAAGGGTCTGAGAGATTTGAAAATAAGAGTGGGGGAGGGGTGAGAAACCAACACAGAAGAACGGGGTCTCCCCCAAACACTGACTCCTGCAGGCCCCGGGGGACAAGCAGCGCTTGTCAAGTGTCCCGTCTGGACTTTGGTAGGAATGTCATGTTTTTCCAAAGCCGACTTCTGCAAATCTCAGCCTGCGTTCCAAAAAGTTCCCGGCAAAATGAACCAACCACCAATTAGAGGTTATTGCACAAGAGAAGCGAGCAATCCCCCCTCTCAACAGCAACCAAGGCCACCCACACCTCACCCCAAACTCTGCCGGCGGGCTGAGATTGTAACTTAACCAACAGAGATTTAACTGAATGCCAGCCATGAAGAGGTAACGCTCGTGTGCGTACACTGGCAGGGAACGAGACCTCAATACGATCTCCCTCAATGCGTCTGAAAGGTATACTTAAAAAAACAAACTAAACACAACTTCACTTGGATTCTTGCAGGAGGCCAAAGCACAGCTGAAAGCCACCTCCACATCCAACTCAAGGCACAGGCGTTGTAAACTCCCCACAAAGAACTGACTCTCCCATGAGCCGATTTTATTCCATGCCCTTCACAGCAGCCATCAGCTGCAGCAGGAGGCCTTTCCATCGCCTCTCCAGGTGGCCTGTGTGGACTAACTGTGCTTTAAGAAACTTGCAAAGGTTTCATCTGCCTGCTCCATGTTGCTGCCAGAGGTGGGAACTGCTCAGCGAGGACAGCGCTGAGGTCTAACTGGGATTCTGCAGCACGTGCTGGCCGAGGAGGAGCCTTCTGGCTCCAGCCCGCAGCGTGCTGCTCCCCTCCGCTCTGCAAGGGACACAGGGCACTTCCTAGCTGACACCTGGCTCTTGGCGACACCAGCTTTAGGAGAACAAAAGACATCTTATTCTACAGGGTTGGAGAAAGAGAACACACTGCTGTCAAGCTGAGCTCCGAAGTCAGCCCAGCCGAGACCTGGGCTGGGCAGTCACAGGAAGAACAGGTTCTCACACAGTTGGATGGCCGGCTCATGATGCAAGATCTGGCCTGACAGGAAGGCTAGCTTGTGGGCATATTTGCAAGGAGCTGGGACTCGGATGGTGCCGGGCCAATTCCAGTACATGTGGCACAGTTTGAAAGTCAACCTGCAGGCCAAAAAGAAAACACGATCCTTATCACCTGCCACCTCCGGCTGGGGAGGCACTTACCACCGTCAGGGATGCCACGACTCAGCCGCTCACCAGCGAACTGGGGAGCCCGGAAACACACGTGCGGAACTGTTTCTAATGTCACGTGTAAGTCAGAGCACACGGGCAAACTCCCTTGAGGCATTTCCCTGTTTTTATGTCAAAACAAGGAAAAGAAGACAAAGTTGGTTTTGTCGACCATGGAAGCTGCACAAGGCCAGGCCCACAGGGCACTTCACTCCTCTGACCTCAAGGGCATCCCAGCTCCAATCAGGGCCTGCTGTCGTCATCACCTGTGTCCCAGAGTACAGGTACACCAGCTGATTGGGGCTTAAGGCCAGCATCAACAGTGTTGTGGTGGAAAGTTCCTCAAGTAATTCTGCTGTAAACCCAGAATTATCATTCCTCAACAAGATAGCACTGTTGTCAGGGAGAGGAAGACCCTCTGGGCAAGCACACCGGCTGGGGGCAGGCAGGGCCCAACCAGCTAGCTGGCCAGAGCTATCGCCATGGAGGAGAAGGGAGTGACCGACAGGCTCACCTCTGCATGTGATCAGGGCTCAGGTTGGCCGTGTTGAGCACGCACACGTAATGCGTAGGGATGCCACAGCCCTGCCTCACGTGATGTGCAAGGAGGTAGAAATCCACCCTAGCAAGATAAAAGCATAGATTAGGGATCCGGTCATGTGTCCAGACAGGGTTGAAAAGATGGGCTGCCGATCTTCAAAATTATTTGAAAGACAGACTTACAGAGAGAGAGGGAAGTGGTGGCAGACTGGGAAGAGAAAGAGAATCTTCCATCTGCTGATTAGCTCCCCAAATGCCTTCCACAGCTGGGCTGGGCCAGGCCAAAGTCAAGGGTCCAGAGTTTCACCTGGGCCTCACACATAGGTGCAGAGGGGCCTAAACACGTGGGCCTTCCTCCACTGCTTTTTCAGGGGCATTGGCAGGAAGCTGGACCACAAGTGGAAGCAGCCAAGTTTCAAACCAGCACCTGTAAGGGATGCTGGAGTTACAGTCAGCAGCTTACCAACCAAAACACCAGCCCCAAGGCAAGGCTAAAAACCTGTTAAAATTCCTCAAGAGACTATTTAAGGATGGTGGCAGGGAATTGGCATTATGGCGTAGTGGTAGAGCCATCGCCTGCAATGGCATCCCATATAGGCACTAGTTCATGTCCCAGCTGCTCCACATCTAATCCAGCTGTTAGTAGCCTGGGAAGAGGAACTCAACATGGCTCAAGCATCTGGGCCCATTACCATGCGGGAGACCCAGAAGAAGATTTTGACTTCAGCCTGGTCACTGTGGCCCTCCTGGGAGTGAAGAAGCAGATGGAAGATCTCTGTCTCCCCCTCTTTAGCTCTTTCAAAATATATGAACCACATTTAAGAAGTAACAACAGAGTGGTGGCTGGGTGGGCCCGGTCCAGCCCTGGCCGTCTGGGGCCATTTGGGGAATGAGCCAGAGGATGAAGATCCATCTCTCTCAGATTTTCACACACATTTTAAAAACATTTTTAACATTTTTACAGAAGATTGATGACAGAAAATACTTCATCCCCATGGAGAAGGTGCAGCTTGTATTATCTCAGGAAAACACTGTGTTCAGGATTTTGTAGGTCAAGAGGCAAAAGGTGTGTCATCCTTGTTGGTCTCAGATAGCTTTTTAAAGATTACTTTGTCACCAAAGGATCCCAGGATTCCACCCCACGTCTCTCCAGGCAACCTCCCTGCTCCAGGAGCCAGGAGCCAAAGGCTCTGCTGTGGCCTTGCTAACCCACGGTACTCTGCGGCCCCACTTACCACTCGCAGCTCGTGATCGTGTGATCCACCACAGTCCCAGGGGAGGGTGTCACAAAGTGCTCGGTGGCAGCCAGGTACAGATTGGTGCTGATCTTCTTCTGAACTACGAAGACCACCATCTTGGGCTGATAATTCTCAAAAGCTTCAAAACATTTCTGCAGCTGGGGGATCTCGTAGTTGGCGACCGTCTTCAGTTGGCCGTCGGACACTCCGTCCCGGTAGACCACGATCTTCTCTGGCAGACAGTGGTTCACCTGAAACGACACTTCCGGTCAGGAGCCTCGTGGGGCTCACTCGGGTCACACGCTTGGGCTCTTAGCAGCTTGCCCCATGAACAACGGTGTCTCCAGGGCAGGGAGATGGGTGGCAATAGGTGAGCAGGGGGGATGACACTTCGAATCACTTTCAGACTGCCACGGGGTTATAAAACAAGCCCGGAGCAGCAAAGGTATCGTAAAACACAAAAGCAAAATAGACCAGTCATGAGTCACATCCACACCGCTTAGGCTCAGACACAGTGTGGACAAAGTTAAAGAGGAGTGGCAGTCCGATCACAGGCTCAACAGTCTCCCTGCTACACACATTTTTTACCACGGACAACTGCTTAGGCAAGATCAGGGTGGGTGTCAGGGACGTGCTAACACACAGGCTCCACTGTGTCTGACAGGTTCCCCTCCAAGTGCCTTGGTTTATTTGGTCCTGGCAGTGGGTAGCTGGCACAGGGGTTAAGAAGTCATTCCGGGGGATGGGCACTGTTGCACAGCAGGGGAAACCATGGCTTAGCATGCCCACATTCCAGACCAGAGAAACTGGTTTGAGTCCTGGCTATTCTGCTTCTGATCCATCTTGCTGCTCATGTGCCACAGCTCATGGCTTAAGTCAGCTGGGTCCCTGCCACCCACACAGACGCTGAGTTCCTGGCTCCTGGCTTTCCCTGGCTTGTTTCAGGCTACTGGGCAGTGAACTAGCAGAAAAAAGACCTCTCCCCACCTCTCTCTCGCCTTGAATGCCCCGGGATCCCATATGGGCGCCGGTTCTAATCCCTGCAGCTCCACTTCCCATCCAGCTCCCTGCTTGTGTCCTGGGAAAGCAGTCGAGGACGGCCCAAGGCTTTGGGACCCTGCACCCATGTGGGATACCCAGAAGAAGTTCCTGGATCCTGGACCAGCATAGCATCGGCCGTTGGGCTCACTTGGGGAGTGAATCATCGGACGAAAGATCTTCCTCTCTGTCTTTCCTCCTCTCTGTATATCTGACTTTCCAATAAATAAATCTTAAAAAAAAAAAAAAACCGGGCCCGGTGCGGTGGCGCAAGTGGTTAAGGTCCTCGCCTTGCATGCCCGGGATCCCATATGGGCGCCGGTTCTAATCCCGGCAGCCCCGCTTCCCTTCCAGCTCCCTGCCTGTGGCCCGGGAAAGCAGTCGAGGACGGCCCAAAGCTTTGGGAACCTGCACCCGCGTGGGAGACCCGGAAGAGGCTCCTGGCTTCGGACCGGCATAGTATCGGCCGTAGCGGCTCACTTAGGGAGTGAATCATCGGACGGAAGATCTTTCTCTCTGTCTCTCCTCTCTGTATATCCGCCTTTCCAATAACAAAATAATAAAAATAAATCTAAAAAAAAATAAATAAAATAAAAAAAAACAATAAGTAAAAATTAAAAGGAAAAATTAAAAGGAAAAAAGTATGTTTTGATCACTTGAGTGTGGTCCATTCTAGGTTTCTATTCAATTCCTCTCAAAAAGTTACATGATGAATTAAGTGTAAATTTAATATGCATTGTTGTACCCTTCACAAGTTTTATAGAAGACACTTAAAGACATTTTTTAAAGAAATAAATCCTGGGGGGGGGCGGATAGTGGAGAAAAAAATACCTGGAATCTTCTTGAAATTTAAATTCACATTTTCAAATATTGTACAAATGCCCCTTTCCTAAGAATCTTCAAGCGCTACATTTACAAACAGGAAGTTGCTGTCACAGACGGGAGACTGTAATGACTGCCGACGTTACACGCTTCTTGTTTTTGTTTTTACTTTTCCCATTCAACATCCACTCCCTTCTCCTGGGCAGCAGCACTTCCATTCCCTCGGCCTCCCGACAGAAGACAGGCTGGCGTGACTACCAGTCTGGTCATCTTGCCCTCAGCACCAAGGCACTGGGCAGGTGATTCCTCACTGGCAGCTGTCCTGGGCTACACCACACCCTCGTACTGCAGCATCCCTGGTCTCCGTACACTGGGTGCCAATGGCATTCCCAGTTAAGCCCCCAAATGACTCTGACATGTCCCGCTGGAAGGACACAGCTGCCCTCAGGCACGAAGGGAACAACTTGTAGAAGACCCAGGTGCCATGGGCAACATCCTCCTCCCCTCCCGTGATGCTGAGAGCCTAAGGAATGAGAGGACCACAGGGAGCTTCGGTCTTTCCTTAGATCCCTGTTTCTGGAACCTTGGTTGGAAGCCAACCCCACTCGGGTCCTTCTCCCAGGTGTAGTCTCCACACCAGCGCACCACGCTCTTGGGGGTCCATCCAGTGCCCCCCAGTCACACCCACTTTCCAAGGTCCTCCAAATGACAAACTGCTGAATGGGTGGGCACGGGAGCTTGGATCCGAAAGACACACTCATTCCACAGAGAAGGACACGAGAGAGAACGGTGGCCTTGGTCAGGAGCCTTCAGACCAAGTCGGATTCCACTGTTCCTTAGCAATGACCTTGAATACTTGGCTTCCCCAGTTGAAAATAGAGAAAAATTATCACTTTCTTACAAAAGCAAAGAGGGATAAAATAACATACCTTATCCACATATTTTTATAGAAATAAAAAACTACATACTGAAGCTATCAGGGAAAGAAACATTCTGAAGCAGAGGAGGGCTATAGTGAAATCAGTGGAGTGAAAAATAGAAATTTAATCTGTCTACAATGTTCTTTGCCATCACCTCCTTTAAGATTTTACTTTTATTTGAAAAGCAGGTTTACAGAGAGATAAGGAAAGAGAGACACACGGAGATCCTTCCGTTGCTGGCTCTCTCCCCAAATGGCCACAGCTGAACCAGTCTGAAACCAGGAGCCAGGAAACTCCCCTGGGGCTCCCACGTGGGTGCAGGGGTCCAAGGACTTGAGCCATCCTCTGCTCATTTCCCAGGCCACAAGTATGGAACTGGAAGGGAAATGGAGAAACCAAGACAAGAACCAGTGGCCAGTGAGCAATGGGGCTGCAGGTAGAGACTTAGTGTGCTATGCCACAGCACTGGCTCCCATCACCTCCTCCTCTTACATGTGTTAACCAGACACTGAGTGTGAGGTGCTACATTAGGCCTTGTGAACAAAAAAAGATATGGCTCCAATTATTAAGCAATGGGAAAATTCTTCTAAAAAAATGAAGTGTTCAGCTTTGTGGGTCATTTCATCTTTCCCCTTCACATCATAAAAAGGTTTAGGCCTGGGCCTGGCATGGTGGCCTAGCAGCTAAAGTCCTCACTTTGAATGCACTGGGATCCCATCTGGGCACCAGTTCTAATGCGAAGGCACCACTTCCCATCCAGCTCCCTGACTGTGGCCTGGGAAAGCAGTCAAGGACAGCCCAAAGCCTGAGGACCTTGTACCCTTGTGGGAGACCTGGAAGAGCTCCTGGCTCCTTGCTTTGAATCAGTGGAGCACCGGCCATTGCAGTTACTTGGGGAATGAATCATCGGATGGAAGATCTTCCCGTCTCTCCTCCTCTGTATAGCTAACTTTGCAATAAAAATAAATAAATCTTTTAAAAAAAAAAAGGGGTTTAGGCATGACACAGGACATAAGGCAAATCACAAGACTGCAGCAACTGTGGAGTGTCTGTTATAAAACCACTGCAGTGCCCAGGTGACAGGCGGTGAGCTCCTGGAGGGCAGAACGGCTGTCACCCCAATCCTGAGTAAAGCATCAAGGGTCAAGCAGGCAATAAATATTTGGCAAAGATTGAGATGTCTTCACGTGTGCCAACACTCACTCAGAGAACACAGACTAGACGTTAACCAGACAGGAGAGGAGCAAAGGCCTAGCTTTTGGCTGCACAGAGGTAAGGAAATGAATGGCGATCAACCTGTACATTAAACCTACCTCAAAAAGATGACTCACGTAACTACAGAGCAAACGGAAGAGAGAGAATGGAGCAGACTGCATCTCCTCCAGTTTCAGATGTCCAGACAGAATGTCTTCATTTCCACGGTGATATCAGGAAAATAAAGTCAAAAATGACAGGTATCTGTGGGACTCTTCCAGATCAGCTGACGCAAGAGCAGCTCGATACGCTAATTTCTCGAGAGCGGAGATCTGACAGGTGAGCATGAATGGGCAAACGTCGCAGGTGAGTGTGGGTGGGAGAAGTGGCCTGGGCACTGTGTACAGCTCAGAGAGAGGCAGGCCAGACAAGCCCCTGGTCAACGGTGGGGACAGCAAGGGCAGAATGGCCTCTGGAGTACCCCCCAAAACAATAATCACTCGCCTACGATAACTCACCCCCAGCCTCCTTCCAATTCTGCAAAAAAAAAAAAAAAAAAAAAAGGAAGTGAAGTTGAAACTGAAGGAGAATCAACATACAGGCTGCCATGCTCCGTGGGTGTCTGCAAATGCAACGCCAGAGCAACACGTGGGCACAGTGACTTCCTGACAGCCGCCCATCAAGCACAGCCTACCTCCTAGGAAGCTCCAGCTCTACCTGGAGCCACGGCACAGGGGACGGCACCACGCAGGACGCGGGTCAGCATTCCCGAGGCCCACGCGTCTACTCCACATTATGACACACTTCACACAGATTTCCTCCAGCCCGTGATGTGTCCTCCCACACTCTGACCAGTTCTTTCCCAGATAATTTAAAAATTTCAGTGAGATTCACCTATTATTTTTTTCTTTTACAGACACTGTTTTCAGTATATCTGAAAAACAAATCACCAAGTCCTAGGGTCACCAAAATGCCATCCTGTTATCTTCTGGAAATTTTAGCTTTGTGTTTTTAATACATATCTGACGAGTTTTGTTTTGTTTTGTTTTTATTAGAAAAGCAGATCAGATTTACAGAGAGAAAGCTCTTCTGATGATTTACTCCCCAAATGGCCACAGCAGCCAGAGCTGCGCTGATCCAAAGCCAGGAGCCAGGAGCTTCTTCTAGGTCTCCCATGCAGAGCCCAAGTCCTCACGATGCAGGCTGTTGTGGCCACTTGGGAGCAACCTAGCAGATGGAAGACCAAAGTCTGTCCATGCACACTGATTTCATATCAT